CAGTACCTGTCTTACATGGGCCCCAGGGTGGCGCCGTTAGCTTCCGGCCAGGCCTGGGGGGAGGAGCACCTGCTGGGTGTTTCCTGGCTGGCTCTCCCTCCCTCCCCTCACTGCCCCCAGCCACCGCCATCCGTGCCCGGCGCTGCGCTGCGCGCAGCTGCGGCCCAGGCCCAGAGAAAAGGTGTGTGTCTCCCTGGCAACCCATCACCATGCAACAGGATCTCCCGGGATACGGCCTGGGATGCGCTGACGTCAGCGCCCAAGGCGCGAGCAAAGCCCGCCCGCTGGCACCACGCCGAGCAGAGCAGACCGGCGCGGGGGCGGCCTCGGGCCCCGCCGGCCGGATAGCGCCTCCGCTCGCAGGAAAAGAGAGCCAGAAGCAGGCTGTCGAGGCGGAGGTGGGGGATACAGATCCCCTTCATGTGAATGCGGCCCCCCTTCCCCCTACCAACACCAGGGGCCCAGCACCTCTGGCAAGTCCTGGCTGTCCACGGAGGAAGGGCGGGAGGATCGGCTCCAGCCTCGGAGGGTCCGAGCAGATCCCAAGGAAGATAGAGAGAGGCCCCGAGGAAGTTCGATCCACTCCACAGCCCAAGCCGGGTCCGAGGCCACTGAGGGGTGGGGGAAAGGCTGTTCACCTGGGCTCTCACTTGTGCCAAAATCCTCATTTTTATCCCGCTGCCATATCATTTTTCCTCACCCCTCTCCCTCTCCCCTTCCCAATATCAGCAACCACCTGGTGCTCTCCACAATTCTGAAAGCCCCTATCCCACATTCCTGACCTTCAGGCCCCTGGGACCACTTTGTGGCAGCCCACTGGCCCCCTTCCTCCTCTGGATACATTTTACCGTCAGAACCCTAGGGATGAAACCTACACTTTCATAAATTCTGAATCTTGGGTTTCTCGGCCTACCCATTCCTCTTGGAAAGCACACCGCAATCTTCCACCACCATCGCCATCCTCCTCCCCACCACCACCTTGGACCCTTTACAGCCTTGCTGCCTTCCTTCTCTTGGTTCTTTCCTCTCGCCAGCATCAGCTGGTATGCAGCTCTTTACTCTTCTCTTCTGACAAACCCATGATTTTTTCTTACTTTCATCCCAGTCCCCTAAGGCTTTTTTCCTGATGCCCTGTCTGGCCCCAGCCTGGTTGTTCTTGTATCATCCTGGTTCCCACTATCTAAACCAGAGTAATTTTCCTTTTGCCACCTGAGCACCCAATTCCTCAGCTTCCCCTTACCTCCCAGATCACATCTACAGTCCCTGGTCTCACCTCTGCGACTCGTCTGACAAGTCCATCGTCCTCCAGGCCCTTCACGCTGCCATAGAAACATTTTGCCCAGCACAGAAATCATAGGCATGCTGGCTGTGTTGATGCAGAGAACCAAAAGCCCAGAACTGCTCCAGGCTCAGCTCCCAGTTCTATTCTTATTTTGGCTCCGGATGCTGAGCCAGTCCCCTCCCCACTTGGAACCTGTGCCTAGTCACAGAAGGAGAACACTCCTGCTTCATGGCTTTGAGGAGGTGGGAGTGCCAGGGGCCCAGCAGAGCTCTCTGAAGCTCAGGGAGCTGAGGCCCATCCCCTAGACAGTGCCAATAGGCAATGTACATCACAACTGACCTTTAGCTGGAGTAGCCGTCTCTGTCCCTGAGCCTCAGCCAGCTGGTGGTCCCCAGAAATGCTACCAACCAGAAGGAAGACACAAGGTTACAGGCCATCCCTGGCCCCAGGCTGGTACCTAATCAGGGCTCTCAAAGCCAGTCCTAAGGTCAGCCAAATTCTCCCCTGACTACAGGAGGAATGACTTCCTGAACCCCAAGCCTTAGCAGGGCCAGAGGGATCAGAGCAGCCTGCTGCTTCTCAGCTTCAAAAGCCATGAGGTTAATTTAGGACTACAAATCCCAGAATTCCTCATGGGAACCAAGGAAAGTACAAATCTCAGCTAGTCTTAGCTTCAAAACATCTCAAGTACCAACCACTCTAAGGCCTGTATGACTGACCACCTGCCCTGAAAGCCCAGGACCCATTCCAAAACCCAGCGTTCAACTTCATGGGAAAAAAAACAACAACAACAACGCTGCCTGGCTTTGGGCTTGGAGAAACCCAGAACACTTAAGTTGGCTGCTGGACCTCAGATGCATAGGACTATGGCCAGGCCACAGCATGCACCACCCACCATCCATGGGAACCAAGGCCCAAGCAGCAGGGATCAGCAGTTGTAGGAAGCCCTGATGGCCTCTCTCCTGGCTCCTCTTTCTCTACACAAGGTAGGATAATGTTTTTGTTGGGAGTGGGGAAAAGGAACTAAAATAGTAGTTACGAGGTGAGAGGTGATCAGGTGCTCACAGGTGCCCCAAATGGGGCCTCAGTCTCCTTCATAAACTAGCCGACTCTGGGCGGGGGAGTACAAAAACTCCGTGCTGGGGTGCTTGACAGCCTTTGCAGGCTACCTCCTTAAGGGTATTGGGACGCAGCTAGAAGAGGCAGGTTCCCAGCAGAGAGCCACTCCCAGGACAGTGAGAGGAGAGGTGTAGGCTAGGGGGCGGCGAGTGTGTGGGCGTGGATGGCCAATTGCCATGGGCAACGTGCCCCTCCCGAGGCTGTGCACCTCCTGCCACCTTCAGCGGTGGGAATCCAGGCGGAAAGACCACGAGTCTACCCTGCAAAACCCAGAAGCAGGCAGGCCGTGGGAGCGAAGCCGAGTCGCTTTAGCCCCCTCCCCGCTCCTTTCCGCTCCCTCCTCTTAACAGGCCCGCCTCCCCGGTACAAGCTCCTCCCCCTCCCGACACCGGCCCCTTCCTCAAGGCCCCCACCCACCCGCGGCCCGCGCACCGGGCAGCCGCAGCCCGATTCTCCAACCCGTGCCCGGCCTCCGCCTCTTACCCTGACCCGCCGGACTCCGAGAGCCGATACAGCCCATGGCCGGGAACCCAGGCACGCTAGCCCGCGCTCGGGGCTCGGGCCATCGCCTTGCAGAGGGTCGGGCCGCGGCCGCCACTGGGGAGGGGAGAGCCCGAGAGAGGGGAGGGGTGGGAGCCGAGCGTCCGCCGCCGCTCCCCGGAGAGGGAACCGGGCCGGTGACGTCAGCACGGGGGCGTGGCCACTCGCGTCACCACCCAAGGCAGGCGGGGCGAAACACGTCATAGCCACGCAGAGGCGGCCTGGGGCCGAGTCCGGAAACACCTAGTCCCCTCCTCCCAGGCCCTACTGCGCAGCGACCCCGAAAGGCAAGGGTGGGAGGGAACGCTCTGGGCCCGGGCTGCCAGGTACACAGAATGAGGACGGTAAAAGTCGTTGCATCCAGCCCCATCCTTTCACAGATGAGACCTTGAAACCATAAAGGGCTTCTCCGGCTATAAACAGTTTGAAACCCAAGGCCTCCTCCACGTTATTGGGGTCTGGACCACATTCTTCCAGGAGTTCAGTGTGTCTAAAGGTACCCCACAGCTATTTGTCTCTCTCTTCTCCCCTACCAAGCAACAGGACATCCCACCATGTCTGCTTCAAGGGTCCAATCCTCCAGCGAAGTAACCCTCCAACTCCCACAATCTTGGACAGGGAAGAGGCAAGAGGGGTGCCAGGTACAGGAACTGTTACAGTGCCAGCTCTGGAAAGGAGACTGCCCACCTATCCATATCCCTTCTCCAGAGGGAGTAGGCCATAAAGCAGGGAGGCAGTGAGCTTAATTGAATTCATATTTAATAATTACAGGCACCGTGCCCCCCCCTTCCCCCTGCCCAGGCAGCAGCAGGGGTGGTGCAGGGGCTGGGGCATATGCCCCCAGCAGCGAGGACGGCAGTCCCATGAGTGATTTTCAGAAAATAAAAAAGGACCCCAGGGGCAGGCGGTGGTGCCCCCCCCCAAGACACACCAAATTTCAAGACTTTATATATAATATATCTCTGTGCCCCAGGGGGAGGAGAGGGACACCTGGCAGCATCCTGGAGGGGGGCCCCAGGCAGCCCCACGCCATCCTGCCTCTTCAGCCATTTTATTAGCTCAGACACATCGCACTACAGGCACCCACTGCCACCGCCGCTGCTGCCGCCCCCCCTGCAGTCCGGGCGGCTGGCCGGGTCATCCGAGTGTCCATGGGGCTCCAAGTCCCCGGCCCCACCCGCCCTCAGTTGTGGTCAGACTCCTCCTCCTCCGCTTCACGAAGCCACTTGAAGAAGGCTGTGACAGATTTAAGGGCTACACCCTTGCCCTGTTGCTCAGCGGGGTCCTTGCTACTCTCCCAGCTGTAGAAGGCATCCTCTTTCACCACGTCCTCGTCATACAGCGCATCAAAGAACATCCGAAGCAGGTCTGCAAGCAGGCAGGACAGCAGTTAAGGAGTGCTGCCCACAACCACCCAACCCACTCCCAAGCTCCACTGTTAAAAATCAAGGCCCTGACCCATCATCCTGACATTTGTGTGTCTGACCATTGATTAGAGTGACTAGGTAGGTCTCTAACAAGGTGTTAATCTTACTTTACGATCTAAGACTGCTGCACGCACAGGAACAAATCACAGCAGAACCTTACAAACCTGCCTTACCTTGGCAGCTTCTCCATTCATGATATATTTAATGAGGAAAACTATATACAGAATTGGTACTCCTAAATTTGGGAATCACAAAAGTCCCAGATATACCACTCACCAAAGTCAAGGGTTTATAACCTGGAACATTCACTGGCCACCATTACAGATTCTGACAAACTGGATCCCCATTTCCCCTTATTTTCCATACATCTGAACATACACATCCTCTCTAGCCTTGACATTTTTACGTGTGCCACATCCTTTGCCAGGATCATCTTTCTCTTGTCACCTTCCTAATGAATTCTTTTAGGTTCAACTCCAGCACCCCTTCCTCTGACCCTCTTTCTCCCCAACCTGGCTTCTAGTGAAGCCCTCCCTAGCGCTTGTCCTATCAGGCCTGAACACAACCTGTCCCATTCCCTATACTGTACTGTCAATCTTTCCAAAAGCAAATGGAGGCCAAGTAGTGAAACATTTCTTCTGAATAAAGAAATAAAGCATAGGTTCTAGAGTCCAGGCCTGGGTGAAACGCTGACAGCCATCTATGAGAAGCTGCAAACCAGGATGTTCCTCAGGGCGCACACACCCTCAAATCCACAACCACCACCCGTGGACAGCCCCCCAGCCCCATCCTATGGCAGCAGAGCATTCGTCCCAAACTTGTGCTCCAAATCCGGTGCATCCCACCCTGGGGACCCTACACAATCAATTATCCACTCTGCCCTGTATCTTCAAACCCAAGTTTCTCCCATCTAAACACAAAAGGCCTCCATCACAACCACAATCTCTTACAGTCAAACAAAAGATTTTTGTCTTTGGACGAGACATTAAACACTTTGTCTACGCTTGCTGTTTTCCTTTTTTCCTATCTCACTCAAGTATTCCTCAGTCCTTTCCAATCCAGAGTGTCCCCTGCTCTACTAAATACTGTTTATGCCAGAGCGGCCTCCATGTTTTTATACTCCAAAGGCCCTAAACCGTCAGCTCTGCTCCTATGGAACTCTCAAGCAGCATCTAGCATTACTGACCACTTCCCCCTCTTAAAATTACTTTGTCCTTTGTTCACAGGGCCCTGTCCTCCTCTGGTCCCTCCCTGTGGGTCCTCTACTTCCTCAAGGCTCTACCCCATATTCTCATTGCTCTCCCTTGGGCAATCCCATATCCTCTGAGGACTTGCACATGTGTTGCCCTGTGTCAGCTTCTCACAGATCAGCCACCAACCCTGACCTCTTCCTCTCCAAATGAATTCCCATACTCAACTGTCTACCTGACATCTCTGATCACCCCCACCCAGGGACCACAAACCCAATTATGACCAAAATCAACTTGACCCAGTGTTCCCAACCCCCAGAGTGTACGGTATACCACACTATCACCTCACTCAAAGCATCCTGAGAGTCATACATTAACTTAACCTGTCTCATCACCTCTTCCCCCTTAGGCCAGTGTTATGTCTTAACTGTAGTTACACCCCTCCCAGCTTCACTGCCACCAGCAATACAACCCACTCCTAATTTGCTGCTCTTGCCATGTTCACACTTAACCCATTCCAAACCATTCTTCCTACCAAAGGCCCAGATGAGCTAAAAACTAAAATCTCACAAAGCCTTTTCCTGTCCTTAGGCTGAAGGCCAAAACTTGTCCCACGGCTTAGACAGCCCTGCATGACCTAGCCCACATCCATCTCTCCAGCCCCATCTTGCCTCACATACGGCTGGCTGCTGTGCTCGCCCACACTGGCCTTTCTTGAACAGTTCTGTTACTTTGTATCAAGTACTTTCTGCCTCAGGGTCTTCCTTTACACACACAGTTCCTTCAAATCTCCCCCTCCAACTGGTCATTTAGCTACCATTTGTCACTTCCCACTCATTATCCTTTAGACTAGGTGTCCCCAGAGAGTACCCCACAGGACCCATCTTCCAACACTCATCACCACTGTGTTACTCTATGCCAACACAGAACTGTACTGGACTTTATCACTGCCAATGTCCCAGTGCTCTGGCACATACCTATCTGCTGAATGCATAATCTCAGGCATATTAACCTAAGCCTCAGTCTCCCAGTAAGAAGAAGGGGATAACGGCATCGGCCTTAAACAGTAGTTGTGAAGATTAAATAAGGCAAAAAAAGAAAATCATCTCAACCCCATGCCAGGACGCCAGAGCACTCAGTATTTAGAAACTGTTATCACTTTTCACCTCCATGCTCCTGGCACAGAACAGTAGTCAAGTAATCTTCACGATGAGTCTAACTTCTTCCATTTGTAGGCAAAGAAATAAGCAGTGCAGGGGGAAGGAATCAATCACCAGGGCATTTTGCTCTACTATGACCAGCCCCCTTTCTTGGGTTGAGACCCTTTGCAATTACTGCCTCCTGTTCTCTGGCAGCTCCTCCACCCCACCCCTGCAGCCCGGCTCTTACTGGCGGGCTGTTCTAAGGTCACTACAAGGGCCTGGAGGGCGTAGAGCGCTTGCAACTCCTTCTGTTCATCACATAAGTATTTCTGTAGCAGTTTCGCTCGAGCTTTCAGCACCGCGACATCCACTCGGAGGGGCGTCTCAACTACAGGAAGACAGACGGGGTTAAGCAGAACAATGCACCCTCAGCCTGGTCCAGTCCACAACTAGGAGGCAAAGACCAAAACCTTCCTCCCTCCATCTGCTGGGCCCACCCTTGCCCCTCCATCTCCCTGGCTCCTCTTACAGATAATTGCAGAATAGCAGACAGCTGTCATGAGGGCCCGAACTAGTGTGTTGGATGCTACCTGCTGCTCACTCAGGTTGGCCTGTGCAGAAGAGAAACAAATGGCCTATATGTTCTGAATTCTGTCCCTACCCGCACACCAAAAACTGCCTCTCCTGTATGCCTCTCTCCCAATATCCAGGAGACACATACCTCTATCCAGTCAAACACCCGTTGGTTACTGCTGCCCTCCTTCAGCAGCTTCTCCAACTGTTTGCTCAGCTCCTCAGAGGAGAGCATCCTCTGGCCGGGGGCTTCAGACTCCTCGCCCAAGGTATACTCCACCTTCTACAAATGAAAAGACCCAAATAGGAGGTAAGTATACCATGTGAGTCACTGAGGGAAGAGGGAGACGAATGGCCAGTCCCAAATGCTAGAATTAACCTAACTCCAGCCGCAAACCTGTTCAGCGACAAACGCACTGACGTCCTGGCCTTCAGGTAGAAATTCTTTCCAGCTGAGTCCAGCTTCTCGCCACAGCATCCCCACCTTTTTGGGACCCTAGAAAATGTAAGACCAATTCAGTAACCCTCTCTCCCTCTAAGACATAGTTCCACAAATGTCATCTAGCAAATATTTACTGAAAGCCCATTAGGTGCCTAAGGGTTCAAATTGTTACAGAGATACCAACAGGCACAGTCTCTCCATGCCTACAGTGGTACTACCACCCAAAGACACAAGAACTCATCTACCACAGTGCTAGGAAACTGAGGCGGGGGGTAGGGTGCGGTGGGGAGAATAGCCTAACAGCCTCTATGAAAGACATCAATTAGCTTTCACAAGACTGCCTTTACTGAAAAAGGTAAACAACCAAATCCAAATACCTCATCCCAGACTTCTACATTCCTCGATGTTTCTTTTTCTAAAATTGCTTAGTTTTCCATTATTCCAACTTACCAAACGCTCATGGGAGAGGACAACTTCTAACAAATACGCCTTTTTAGTTATTAAGTCCAGAAACTTTTAGATACAGATCTATCCCTCCCACAGCCCCCAAGGCAAATCAGAAATCCTCACATAAACAATAGTCTGAACCCATTTTCTGTTAGGGAACAAGGCATTCTGAAGACATTACTCTTAAAATAACCGACACTCAAAATGATGACATTAATCCTAAATAAGACGATTATACTTCACGAATTTTAAAGATACTCATTCCAACACCGCTAAAATTGAACTGCCTCACAGTTGATATATTACATTTAAACAAATGACCATAAGTTTTTTTCTTTATTAACAGTGCAAGAATAACACATCCTATAACCTAATACACCAGATTTAATGAACGCGGTAGTTCAAAGTACTTTTCTCTCTTTTTAAACACAAACTACCCTGCTACACATTTCTATCCAAAAGGATTAATAGGACGCTGAAAGAGCAAGTCCTTTCCACTAAAGTCTCATTTGTCCAGGTCCCAGGGGAGCTAGACTTTTTTTTTTTTTTTTAGTGTTTATTTATTTTTGAGAGAAAGAGAGTGCGAGCAGGAGGCGGGGCAGAGAGAGGAGACACAGAACCCAAAGCAGGCTCCAGGCTCTGAGCCATCAGCACAGAGCCTGAGCAGGGCTCAAACTCACAAACCGTGAGGTCATGACCTGAGCCGAAGTTGAAGTCGAAAGCTTAATGGACTGAGCCACCCAGGCACCCTGGGAAGCTAAACTCTTAAAAGTGCCCTTCCCAGCTCTCACTACCAGAGTACCCTGCCCAACTTGCCTTTCCCATCTCTCCACTATGACATTTTATAGTCACCACTTAACTTTCACAAAGCAGTCCCAGCGCCCTTCTGGAAAGGCTTTCTGTCATGAACATTACCAACCTCACAGTACTCAAGACACTCCATTTTGACTATTTTATTTCACGCTTTACTTAACGCTGTTTTTATTAAGCTGTCATTTCTTACTTTTCTCTTCCAGCTGGTTTCCTATGTTTTATTCACGGTGGTATCTCCAGTGCCTAGTATGTGATTAGTAAATGTTTTTAAAGAATGCTAGCTTAACCGGGGCGCCTGGGTGGCTCAGTTGGTTGGGCAACTGACCTCAGCTCAAGCCATGATCTCACGGTTCAGTTCGTGAGTTCGAGCCCCACGTTAGGCTCTGTGCTGACAGCTCAGAGCCTGGAGCCTGCTTCGAATTCTGTGTCTCCGTCTCACTCTGCCCCGCCCCTGCTCACACTCTGTCTCTCTCTCAAAGATAAACAAACATTAAAAGAAAAAAAAAAGGGGCGCCTGGGTGGCGCAGTCGGTTAAGCGTCCGGCTTCAGCCAGGTCACGATCTCGCAGACCGTGAGTTCGAGCTCCGCGTCAGGCTCTGGGCTGATGGCTCAGAGCCTGGAGCCTGTTTCTGATTCTGTGTCTCCCTCTCTCTCTGCCCCTCCCCCGTTCATGCTCTGTCTCTCTCTGTCCCAAAAATAAATAAAAATGTTGAAAAAAAAAAATTTAATAAAAAAAAAAAGAATGCTAGCTGAACAAATCAATCAATCAATCAATCAATCAATCAATCAAGGGCTTCGGGTCTTAGATTCCCATTCTCCTCCAGCCTTGACGAGAACTCAACAGGAACTGGTCAGTGCCAGTCTCAACATTTCCTCTCCCAGGTACCAACACACAACTACCATCACCATTAACCCCATCCCACCAAAGGACCATGAGGTTTCAGGGTCACAGCAAGGAGCCAAAACCGGATGGTGGGAAGGGAAGTCCTGACACATCACCCCCAAAAGGCTCTCACTCACCATGCTTTTACATAGAAGCCCCAGGATCTCCAGCAACAGAGAAGCAGCTTTGCCCATGGGTCTCAGAGGTTTTGTAATCTCCCTACAAGAAAATTACAGGGAGTGTTGATAGCCTCCAAAGCCCTCTCAACACACTACCCCATCCCTCCCTAAACCCAGGCATCAAACTTGCCATACATCCCTCCTTTCCCCTCCCCAACCCTGTCTTTACCTCTCTTGAATCCCACTCAAGGGGCTTACCTGAACAGTTCCCCCATAGGTACTCCACCTTCCTGCAGAATGGGCGTTATGAGTTCTGCTAGGTAAAGCCACACATGGGGGATGTCAATTTCCATGTCTTCAGCCAATTCTAGGATTTCATACAAACTGCAGATGAAATGAATTCAAAGTCAGGGCCTTCTAGGAAAGACCAGCCAGACCTCCCACCCTCCATCTGGGGCATCACGGCATTGTTAAAGGATCAACTGTGGAGCCCCTGGGGAGCACTTCCTAGGCACGGGGCAATTATCTCAAGCTAAAGCCACACTCCAGTCCTTACATGGTACACCCCTATCCCTGCCAAAAGATCTGTTAACCAGGACAGTTGAGGAACTCCAAGGTTCCATGGGTCCTATAAAGGAGGGAAGTCTGTGGGTATGGAAAAATAGGAGGCCCTAAGAAGGCATACCCTTGGTAGTACTGAGCAGTGGAGAGGTGCCCGGCAAAGAGCAGCTGGTGCAGCAGCCGCCCCATATGCTCACGAGCGATAGTGCTGCGCTCCAGTGTTGACTCGATGCCATGCCGCACAAAGATGAAGAGCAGGGAGGGTGAGGCCAGCTCCTGTACGCACTGCACTGCCTCCTGCAGGTGTGCAGGGCAGGAGGGAGAGGGCAGTCACCGTCTGGTCCAGACCCCATATTCCATGCCTATCCACACACGTCCTTCCCTGCCCACTCTGCTGTCACTCAGACCCCTCCCAATGCCTACCTTCATGTCATTGAGATGGAGATATTCTTCGATAATGGCTTTGGATTTCTTTTCCAGCTCTTCCTCAGAGAGTGCAGCCTTTGGGGGGCTCACCGGGGGCAGGGTGGCTTCTCGCTTCACTGAAAGGGAAAAAACAGATTGAGGACTTCAGTTCTAATTTTCCTAGAAAGAAGGGCCCAGAGCTCTGAAGACGGTCTGGGGACTGCCTAGTCCCAAACATACCCTTCCCTTCCTCTTCCAGCCCCTTACCAGCATCCCGCCCACGGTCCCGATCCTCCGTGAGGCTAGCTGCCTTGCGCAGTCCCTCAGGCTGGGAGGGCCGCTCTCTACTCCGTTCTTCCACTTCCTTGCTGAAGCTCCGCTTGGTGGCAGGTGTCCGAGAGCGATCGAGCCGGTCTCCACGCTCACTTCCCCGTTCGCTCCGCTCTAGGCGGTCTCCCCGGTCCCCGGCTTTCTCACCTCTTTCCCGGCTCAAGCTACTCCTGGAGAAAAAAGCAGGCACGTCACCTCTCACCTATATGCCTAGCTGCTCTCTTGTATTAACTATCCAACATGCTGAGCAACTGCAGGGCCTAGTTCCTGGCGTCAGGAATGTGCCCCATCTAGCCAGAGGTTCTGAGCATTACAGGTGTGAGGATTCCTATAGCAACACCAAAGTCCAATCACAGCACTCTCACAGCATAAAGAAGAAAAACATCCAGGAAACCTCACCTCTGTACCACACGTCTGCTATCTGTATTTTCTGTAGGTACTGCTTGTTGAAGGGCTGAGAAGCGGTTCAAGGTACTAGTAGCTGGACGAGCAGCTTCTGATGCTGGGGAGGCAAAAAGCACGGATCAGAATCTCTTGCTACTGTCTTCCATTCTATCTCCTACTGTTTAGGACACTTGGTCCTAGTCCCGACAAGAACACAGTTTATTCCAGCCCCAAACATACGCCTCCCATTACTACCTAACCACTTTGTACCAAAAGCCTCCCTTATAGACAAGGCTCTGCCCTCAAGAGAGAATAGCCACCCAGCTCCTTACAATGGCCTCCATACCTGCATCAGAGGGCTTGGCTCCTGAGCCTCCACTGCTGCCCTTGCCCCAGCTCAATCGCCCACCAGGTGCAAAGAGCTGGTTGTTAGAATCAATGGAGCCGGGCTGAGGAAGGAAAGGGGAGTGGAGTCATGAGTCTAATCTGGCCAAAGCCCGCAGCCACAAGGTAGCAAACTGCCTAGACCAGGGGAAACTTTTCCTGTAAAAGGCCAAATAGTAAATATTTTAGGCTTTGTAGGCCATATAGTTTCTATTTCAACTACTCCACTCGGCCACTGTAGCACAAAAGCAGTCATGCACAATACTTCAGGGAAATGAGAATAGTTATATCCCAATAAAACCATGGATACTGAAATTTACATTTTGGTTTTTTTTTGTTTGTTTGTTTCAACGTTTATTTATTTTTGGGACAGAGAGAGACAGAGCATGAACGGGGGGAGGGGCAGAGAGAGAGAGGGAGACACAGAATCGGAAACAGGCTCCAGGCTCTGAGCCATCAGCCCAGAGCCCGACGCGGGGCTCGAACTCACGGACCACGAGATCGTGACCTGGCTGAAGTCGGACGCTTAACCGACTGCGCCACCCAGGCGCCCCTGAAATTTATATTTTGAATAATTTCATATTACATAATACCTGCTTTATTTTTTTCAACCATTAAAAAAACACGAAGGCCATTTCTTAGCTGTGAAATGTAGAGAAGCAAGGAATGGGCCAGATTTGCTGGGAGTTTGCGGACACTGGCCCAGACGGATGTGAATACAACCCCGGCTAGAGCTGGCAGCCCTGTCACTAGCAATCTAACTAGATAGTCTAAGAGGGAAAATTCAGCCGTCGCCTTCCCAACCTCAGAAAATGAGGGGACTGAGATCCAAACCTATGCTCAATGTCTGTTTGATCCCTCTTCACCCTCCCATGACCACCACCCCTCCCTCCAGTACACACACCCCTACCTTCGTGATCTTGGTGAGCCGTGAGGTGTCGATAGGGCGGCTGCCCTTGCTGATGGGGACTGTGTTCCAGCCACCATCATCCACAAGTGGGAGGCCTCGGCCTGGGACAAAGAAGAGGGCATATTGCAATAATGAGTAACTCCTAGCAGCCATATCACCTGGGGCCAGCCCAGCCTCCCTTCCTCAGATCCTCA